TTCAGCCGCGTGTTTATCGCTAGACGAACTGATCAGCACTGAATCTTCACTATCCACAACCACAGCACGAGTTATTAATGGCAATTTTCGATGGAACTAGGCCATCGAGATTTTAATTCTCGTCTCATCTCGTCGGTGGAAAACCTTTAGACAAAACTAAATCTGGTAAACAGAAAAAAAAAATCCATTTTTGTAGAACCTATTTATGTAAGCACGCTGTACTGTACACAAATGTGCACAATTTCTCCAGGAAAAATAAATATAATATCACTTTACAAATATTTTTATTTATTAAAAAATCTGTAATATGTCTCTTATACGACTAATTAAAATATTACTATTTTACTATTATAAGTACTAATAAAATCTGGCACTTTACATAAATTTATGGCAGGTAAATTATTAAAAGTTAAAAATAAAAATTGTGAATAAAAATTATTTATTATGTGCTATATAAAATTAGAACTATTATTATTCTGTACACTGTACAGTATTTTCGTCATAAAAATAAATCGAAAAATTTAAGCAAACTTTAAAATAATGCAAGTGTATCACTTTTAGACAACCTGGTAATAAAATTAATTTTACTAAAAATTAACAGGAATGAGTCAAAATTAACTCAATTTACATTGTGTAGCCAAAAATGTTATTATACATCACACGTTGATTGTTTGATTCTGTATTTTCTGAACATTATGTAGACGAAAATTTAAATCTACGAAACTGATTGGTAGGTTTTGTAAGTTAAAGAGAAAATATAAATTGAGTCTACCACGTCCAAATCTTTAAATAAGTATATTTTATTTAATGTAAAATTTTCTTCGTTTTTATTTTAGTAACAGCGACATCTGTTCTTGGGGCAGCGTGGAGGGTAGACGATGCATTGATCCATACAGTATACGTCAGCTCCATCGCGGCCTTCAATTTCACCTGTAGCTTCACATATTTGTCTGCAACGAGAAGTAATAATTTACGTTAAGATATACATATATCGTTTATTGTATCACTGTACTTGAAAGTGGCAGCCTGAAAAGCATGAATAGGTATTTTGTTATTATTGATACAAAGAATACAAAGAAAAACCCTTCTATCTGACTGGACTTGAATCAGCGTCTGTTGCCACACCGAGGCTACCACACTTACCGCATCTTACAAATTTCTCTGTGCTTGTTGCACATCTTTGTATTTGGTTTAAACGACTTTCTTGCGTTCAGCACCACTTGCGAGAAACTTGTGGAAGTTTATTCACTAAGGCAGGTAGGTGCCTTATCAGACGCTGACGAGATATAGAGTACTAATAACAATGACAAACTAGTGGAGTATTTTCACAAAAAATATACGTGATAGTATTAGTTTTTATGATACCAAGTGACAGGACCGGAGGACGATCAAGTCGTACGCCTGGTGTTAAGCGACGCGCCCGTTCATAGCAGTTGCAGTGCCACTCAGAGCTTTAAATCGCATGGATCTGAGAGAAACTGCCACTGCGTATAGACGCAAAACCGAAAACGCCTGAAAGCTCTACTGTGTCTCAGGGTGACAGCACCCTGAGACATAGTAGAGCTTCCAGAGAAGTACTGCCACCTTACCTATTTCTGCCATCAAGCTGTAATGTCAGTATTACTTTGTTCCGGTTTTGGAGGGTAAGGGTGCTGGTGAAATTACAGGCACATGGGACATGTCAACTTACGTCTCAGGGTGACAGGCGCAGTGGCAGTGCCCCTCAGATCTTTGCGATTAAAGCTCCGAGGACACTGCAATTGTTATGGACTGGCGTGTAACTTACCATCAGGCGCACGACTTGTTCGTCCCGTCACTTGATATTATAAAAACAAACTTAAGTTGACAAGTCCTATGTGCCTGTAATTTCACCAGCACCGTTCAAAACCGGAACGCAGTACTGCTTGGCTACTGGGGCCTTACCATGAACTCTTATTACAGTTCAGTATAGGTTCGTAATGACAAAAAGCGGGATGGTGATATACACTTCATGTAGCTCTGTCTCACAACAATTCTTTTGAGGTCCTAAACTGAATCGTAGTAAGAGGTCATGGTAAGGACCCTGCTTAGCTTAATTACTGCTTAGCGGCAGCAATAGGTAGGGTGGCAGTACTTTCTTGGACGAACTCTTGCACAAATAGCTCTACTGCTATTGATAGTAAATCATCATGACATTCTATAATATAATTATGGATATTTTATAACTAATTTGGTAAAAGTCATTCGAAGGTCATTCTATACAAGCGACTCAGAATTGTATATTGTAAAGTTTTGCCCGGACTATTTTTCTATCCATTACAGTATTTATATTTATATATTTTTTCTTACAAAGTACATGTACATGTTTTTAATACACTTACGGGCAATGGCACAGAGCTTCTGGACAGTTAGGAGGGTATCGTAAGCAGTTTGTTTGACACCAGTTCAGCATACCAGGGATCATGCGGAATCCATCCGACGGTACGCACACCTGATCTCTGTAAGAAATGATTTTAATAAATTTACATATACATATAGTCTTCTTAAATTTGTCAGGTTTATAAAACTATTTACATCGACTACTATACTACAATGAGTTATTTACAATTATTTACACAACTAATAAACATATTATACTCCATTACAATACACAGCAAAGTTTAAAAACAGGACTATATATATATCAATGAGAAATGTCTCTTGTAAATAATGCTATGTTAGTCACAAAACACTAAATTGTTATATACAGGTGGTTTAATCAATAAGAAGAAAGAAATTATTTACAAAAGGTCACAAGTCTGCATGCCAGCCATAACGTGCTAAAAACTCTGCAAATTAATACCTAATAGTCGGTGGAACTAATTCCTCCTCAGACTCAAATTCAATATCATTGCTGAAAGAAAAGTGATCTTATAGTGCTCTAGATAAAATAAATAATATATGTGTATTTTATATATGTGTACCATTTTACCTAATAATATTACGTAATGATTTTTTCTGCAGATCCTGGTGTTCATTTCTGAAACGTTAATGTAATATAACAAATAAATAAAATAGGACCGAATTTAATAAATATTACAACAATTTGTTATATCAATAAGATAAAATATATTAACAACTATTAAGGAATAGTGTACACCTAAATGATTACAAATAGTGCAGATAGTAAGCATTGTGCTTTTGGAAATATTTATAATACTTATACTTAATTCAAATATAACACATATGTTATCAATATATAAAAATCAAGACATGTACATACCTAACAACTAAGGGATACACCTGGTGAGGCAGATTGAAATCCCTGTAGTAGAGCAAGAAGGGGTTGTCTCCTCGTAGATCACCGGCAAACGCTGGTGGAATACCACCTGTGCTAGTAACCACGCTAACATCAGCACAATTCCTAAATGTTTCCGACCTACCACAGCCTACTGCTTCCGTGCCGTTGGCGCAAATACCCCACATGTTACCTAAAAATACCAAAACACAACATATTACATACCTTGCCTTCCAGTAACGAAAAAGACCATGGACTCAACACAAAGATTTAAAAAATCAAATGACTATTATAAGTTGAAACGGCTTCTTCTTCATAAAGAAAAAAAAATCAAAAAGAGAGCAAGCATCTCTCACCAATTTAATAAGATTTCAAAATGGCCATAAAAATTTCACGATTTCCCGCGAAAAATGTCAGGCAACTTTTGAAGAAAAATTACAAACTAAGATCTGGCAGTATGTCTATTTGAAAGCTTGAAGGTGGTTTTCCACCGGCGAGGTGAGACGAGAATTTAAAACTCGCCTATTTCGATCAAAAACTGCTATAAACATTGACTTACAATTATATGGACGTTGGGTCCGCGCTAAAAAGTGTCCGCACTTGTAAGGCGCTAAAATCGTATACAGAGCGCGACACTCCGCTTTAGTCTTCATATGTTCTACGGACAGCGCGATACTGCGATGACATTACAATTTAAATTTCGAATAGGTTGACTTGGGACATTTTTTTCGTGGTTTTTGTATTAGACCCGTCGTCCATTTATTTGTAAGTCAATGGCTATAAACATTAATTGATCGCCCGAGTTCACGCGAGCGCGCTGTGGTTGTGGGTAGTGAAATTTCAATACTCGTCTTGCCTCGCCGATGAAAAAGCACCTTTAACCTGTACCGAAAAAAGTTTACTTTACCAGTATAATAAGTCCATTGTAACACACATTGAGTACAAGTCACATACGGGGGCAACCGTACCCTGTAGCGGAAGATATCTTTCTTCGCCGTGTCTAAAGGAATTAGGAATCTGTCTTCTCTCGTTCCTGATATGTACAGAGGATACCTAAAATTAAAAACCTGTTATATCGCAAATTTTAAGATTCTTTTTCTTTCTTAGTACCCATATAACAGATTACTTAGTTGTAATAATCGATGGCGTATAAAAATATGATACCTGTCAAAGCACTCTTGCGTTGCCTCCTGATTAGGGTTATTGTTTGGGCAGAGCTTTATGACGAAAGTCCCAAGATGATTGGCGGTTAATTCCACTTCGACCTCTATTTCCTACAAGAATAAAAATCTGTTTCTTAATTATATCCAAGTAAAATATTTGACATCAAGACTCGAAACTACCTTATCTCGAATTCAATTTTTTCCCCATGATTATAAGGTTCATTTTGCTTGAGTCAAGCGGTAGGAATACTGGCTTTATTTCAGAAAGCCATTTGAAAAACGCATACCGCATACTATACGTGTCCTGTTTAGTTCGCTGGTATAAAAAAATGGTATATGTAAAATATTTTTTGGATACAGCGGTTTTCTTGTAAAATTGCTAGGTATCATCCCCAATTTTATTATATATTTTTAGGTATCAGTGTGTTTCCCCAATTTTATTATATATTTTTTCCGAAGTGATTGATTCAATACTTTCACTATTACGCGAAATCAACCAAAGTCGCATTCGTTGCATCGACTCGTGTTTATTGAGATCCTTTTTGTTATGTATTTTTACAAACGGGACACATTGTCCCTCGTTTCTTTAATTTCCAATTACCTGTCCAACACTATAGTGTTTTGTGAGAATTCCTTTGCCGTACATGCCCCGGGCTTCATGAGGTCGTGGCTCCTTGAGGTGGTACGCGTCGCCGCAGACACCGCATCTGCCTTCGTTCTGCTCCCACTGAACTGAACAGACGCTGGATTAGACACTCGATCTTAATTTTATCAGTAAAGTCATATTCAACTATGACATTTTGTTACTTAGTCCATATTTTTTCTCTTCATATCTTTGTGTTATACTATTTAGATTTTTTAACCGACTTCAAAAAAGGAGGAGGTTCTCAATTCGACTGTATGTTCTTTTTTTTTTTTTTTTTTTGTATGTATGTTACGCGATAACTCCGGTATTTGTGAACCGATTTTCATTATTCTTTTTTTGTTGGAAAGGGGGTACTTCCATAGTGATCCCATTTTATTTTGAAGGAAATCATCCACCTCTAAGGGTGGCTGTTCACGCATGAAGATTCATTTTTATAAATAGCGCCTAATTTTAATTTAGGAGCAATTACTTTTAGCAATTATTTAGTTGACTTTGCTATTTATCCAACTCAAGGCGTTTTTCCCTCGATATACTTTAAGTAGTGTCGTAGTGATACCTATTTTTATTATCTCCAGTATCAAGTCCTGTATAGTGCCGAACTAGGGGATATTTCAATGAAACTTAGCAAATAGACGTACTTCCACGTACTTTTGAGGTCGGTTTTTTTAGTACTCTGTACTGAGATTATTTTAAACATCCTTGTAAAACTGTAATCTAAGAAAATTTGCGTTTGTTTATCTGTTTTGTGTGTGGTTGATATTATGAAATTTAAATTATTTATAACCCAAATTGAATATGGCCTTTGTATAATTATTGTTTAAGCGTCAAATTTTATTTATTTAACGCCTAATTTTTTTTTTATTTACCTAAATATATATTTTTACTTTGAAGGATACTAGTGAAGTTACAGGTGCATGGGACTTGACAATTTATGTGTTAGGGTGACGGGCGCTATGGCAGTGCCCCTCAGATATTTGCGATTTAAAGCTCTGAGTGGCACTGCAACTGTTATGGATAGACGTGTAGCTTACCATCAGTACGAATTGTTCGTCCCGTAACTTGATATTATAAAATAAGTTAGGAAAGTCCTCAGTTTTTTTTTAGTATTTTAACTTGAATTTAATACATTTATTTTTGATTAATATTTTAAATTTTTATGTTTTGCATGCCAAATAAAGCCAATTTTATTTTATTTTATTTTAAAATACAAAAATATTAGGCGACCGGAGCGACGGGCATCGGATCAATAGCATCTTCGATATGATCTCCGTGACAACACTTTTCTACATTGCGGTTTATATTCATTCATCAGCGTTGTTTTTTGCGTCCATAGGTATGAATTCAGCAATTAACCACACACGAGCATCATGAATGTACTTATTTATGTATCTACTAAAGTTGAATGAACTTAATGCAAACACAGTTCAATAAACTTTTTCAGACCATTGCGTTTGCGCATCATTTGCAGATAGCTACAAAAAATATTTGTGTGATGGCTTTGCTAAGTATAGCGTGTTTAAAGTTGTTAAACGAAACAATAAACAACACAACTTGGGTATTACGAAATGCAAAGATTAAAAGAGTATTTTAATATTATACTCGTATTTAAGAAGTTTTGAAATATATGCAGTACTGACCGGCGTAGCCGCCACAGAAGAGTTCATTGTCGTTGTAATTGACGGGGTTGGGAAATCCGAAGCGCCACATGGAGTTCCTTGCCGGGGGGTCCATCAGCCTGCCGTGACCTTCCGCACCACGCCGCGCGCTGCCTAACATCTGAAATGCGTTAAAATTTAAAAATAAATATCTACTTTAACAATTAACTTACTTCAGTATTTTACAGGCATGATATCGTCGGAGATAGTGCAAGGCCGCGTTATGTAGCATTGTTATTAGCTTACAGATAGTGACTTTATTGAATTTTGGAGTACACTGCCTTGTATCAGAGGTTTTTTTTAATTTTAATTTAAGTTTTATTTTTAATGTGTATTGTTACAAAATATACAAGATTCCAATTACACAATTATAAATTGACAGTTTTATTTAGATTATTATTATAAGTTTACAGAAATTAATTAATTAATTGCCATTTACCGCGTATAATTGATTCCGCCCACGATTTTGTGCAAAAACCGGCCAAAAGCTTTAAACGCATGCGGAAAGATTGGGTATTAATCCATTGCAAATCTCTGCATCTGACGACAGATCGGCTGTATTGTTATTAACCGATTTTTGGCTTTCTGTTGGTCCATCGCAATTGGCGTTAAGAAGGTGGGTCCCTATCATATAACTACGTACACTAGCATGCAAAACTCAAATAGGCTACGTGTGTCAGATACGCGGAATTATCCAATGCTTGTTACGCGTAACTGCACTATACCTGACGATATATAATAAAAAGAAATCCTTAACGAATTCGCTTCTTTTTTGCTACAATTATCTAAGAAGTAGTAGCCCAGTGGAAAAACACTTGTTTCGTACATGAAAGGTCAATGGTTCAGATTCCTTTCGCCTATTACTTCAATTGTTATGTTGTCAGAAATTAGTAGCAGTACCTGTCGATTGTGGTGACGAGAAACATCATGGAAAACGTCTGTATGTCGAAGATTCAGAATCAATGCAAAACGTGTGTATTCCCCACCTACTTTCGGTAAGCGTAGCCGAACTATGGCCTAAAACCTTAGATCACCGCCCAGCTTTGGGTCATAAAAACACACCGTCATCAACCCATTTCTATGACCCACTGTGACGATGTGATCTCCTTACCTCGCCATTCTACCTTTTTATCGCCTTTTCTCAGGTTCCTGGCCACTAGTTTTTAAATTTTGAATCGTTCTTTTATAATTCCTTTGCCTCGCCATTCTGATTTTGTTTCGTCATCGTCATTCCCTGCGCGAACGCGGCAACGTACAGTGCTGTTTCAATTCCGTCAAATTTTGATTCGTTTACCAGATTTGTAATAGCTACTACTAATCATGTGCTAATTTTAATATCGATCTTTAATTCAGTATAACTCGGCCCTAAGTGTCTACTTTATATTCATCTATAAGCATATCCGTATGTAATTAAGTTAGGGAGTGTTTTGTAGTATTGCGCTTGTTTTATATGTCTTTTTTGTTACATGCAGCCTCTTTTTTCTCTTTATCAACATCTTAATAAATTTTCGTGGACCTGAACCGTGAACCTGGTCACGGCTCATTAGGGTTTACAACGTTTTCACCACTGTTGGGCACCAGGTGAGAGTTCAGCCCATAGGCAGCCAAACTGGCCCAACGCGGATTGGGACTTCACACGTTTTCGGTGTGTTATTTTCATCACCTTGTTTTCCTTCATCGAAAAGCTCATGATAAATTACAAATTAAATTTCGCACATAAAAACAATTGAATATAATATTGATTAATTTACCTGTAGTAAAAATATCCAAAACGTCACGAACGATGTTCTTCCAGATTTGTGTGTCCTTGTTGCCATCTGAAAAAAAAAAAGAATATTTAAACTAAACTGTGTCTGTCAATGATCTGTGGCTGTCATGATTTAAAGCTGGTTAAATCATTAAGGTATCCAAAAGCAACGGTACAGAAAGATGATACCTGGAATATAATACTTTCATACTGACAGTGTTACGGGGATCAGCAATAAAGTGTGTTGTTAACATGTGCAGACATTGTAGTGTCATTTTAACGGTCCCAACGCTTGACGCTGAATACTATATATTACCCCCTAATCCTGACATGGGGACATGTTTACAATTTGTTATAACTGTTTTGTTCTGAAAATATAAAGAATTTTAATAACAACAAAATAGAAATTTAAGAAAAGATGGCTAATAATGCTGACACGGGTAGATATTTCCCGCAGATGCGTGATGTGCTTTTGCGAATCATTTGCATAGAATGGCAATACAATCGTCGCCAACGAGTTAATACGCGTGTTTCATTTGTAACCAAATTAGCCTTAAATTATTATAATGATTGTGTACGGAACTGCCTTGCCTTGCATCCCTTAGTACCTTTAATATTTAGTACATATTTTTTTTGTAGCAGTAGCTCCTTATGAAAGAGTTGGACCAGAGAAGTAACTGCCACCTTTCCTATTCTTGCCGCCAAGCGATAATATGAGGATTATTGCCTTCCAATTTTTGAAGGATAAGGGTGCTGGTGAAACAAGTACGTGGGACTTGTCAACTTATGTCTCAGAGTAACAAGTGAAATGGCAGTGCCCTTCAGTTCTTTGCGATTTAAAGCTCTGAGTGGCATTGTAACTGTCATGAACAGGCGTGTAACTTACTTAAAAAAAAATTGGCAAGTGTTCTATTTATTTATTAGATTCGCCAACAGAAGTAGACTATTTATTAAACATGGACATAAAATAACACTACAGAAATTACTCGACTGTAAACCACGGCAAATACAGCATGCACATAATATAACTTCATATCAGAAGCGTTTACTGTGTGTCATGTTACACACAAACAAATGGATATGATTATAACAAATAATGCAAATGTGTTTAAATTAAGTTGTATATTATATCTCTTTTTATCGTATCTATGGCAAACACAATAATGCTTGCCATCGACGTAAAAAGATTTGCCATTCGGAGTAATGTAGTCGTCGATTGTTGCCTAATGTGTACCAGACGTACGCAGTACGAAGACTTAGACGTATATTCACTTGCCATATTTTTAAATAAATTATTAATAAAGAAGATGATATTAGAAAACAGAACACAAAGCCCTAAATCGATATGTTTCAGCTTAACAGCATTTTAATACGATATTCTTTAATGTTTTCCTTAATATTATTACATTGGAAACTCCAGTGAATTATAATACTGCCGGGCGTTGACAGCTGACTGGCGGTAGGCGGGGGCGGCTAGGTCAAAGAACGAGCGGCCTTGACAATGTGCGTACGCATTATCATATACACCACTTGCGATTACGTCATTTTAAAAACGATGCCTTTAGGTTATTTATATCCTACTTACTATACTATACTTACTATATAGAAATGTATCCATTTCACTGTGCCTAGATTTGTTGTAATCATCGATAATAAAAACCATTTAAATATGTAAATTAATAAAATTAGTTTTTGTTTCATAATATAAAATTAATAAAATTCTCTCGCAAAACAAACAAAAGAAAACATTTCGGAGAAAAACATTAATGGAATCGAAATTGTGTTTTTTTTTTCATGTAGTATAATATTTGTTGAACATATCATTGTATTAAGCAAGGTCAGTTCATGCTATTATTGTAATGGAAGATACTTCGTTCATGTAAAAGATATTTATAATTTAGTCCCATATTTTATTATGACATGAATGCCTTCCGAATGAACATAATATGTACTTATTAAGTTTCGAGCTTTAATGGAGCTAAAATACAGTTAGGATTGGTTATAAACAACGGGTAGCGGGTGTTTTTGAATCCTCACAGTAATTTATGGAATTCTCTGGCATTCATAATTCCTATTTTTCTCAACGTTGTTTAGGTACGCTTTTCCGAACAATATGACGATAGTATTTTTGAAAGCATGGCGCTTTTTTGTATTCGTTGTCAAAAATTTCTTAGCAATATTTACACAACATTGAAATGAGATAACAATAACCTATATCTGTCTCACAGTTTATGTTTACGCAACAAAACTTTATGTACTTATATAATTGTAAATAATTTCATTATTAAGTGAAAAAAAATGTAACCCGTACTAATTTTTGCTTTATTAATTCCATTTTAATCAGATTATAATTTAGATCGAAAAAATAGGATCTTTCAATGTGTAGCAATAGGGAAAACCTAAAACCTAAAACTCAAAACCTCAATATTTCTCATTTTATTCGGGACATATGGTGTCATCTATTACCAAGTAGCAGAACTAATTAAAAACTACCAGATTCGGAAGTTTCATTGACAGCCCTAAAACCGGAAGTAAGTGCAATGACAAAAGAAAAGTAATTGAAGATTTTAATATTTACTTTTTACGTAATAACGAGGGATATCCTTTTATAAATACCAAACAATTATTTGCATACAATATACCATTTTACAATAATGTTTTTTTACAAGTAACATGACAACTTAATCAGTCGTTAGATATTAAAAAATGTTTTTTTAATTCAATGTTTTATCGACGTTAGAATTAAATGTATTTTTGTTAAAGACCATTTTGCTTAACCGCAATATAAAGTAAACCAAACAATAATTTGACTCGGTTGACCATGGAACCTGTAAAACGCGCGAAACGTTGGTTTGTTTGAAAAAACAAATATACGCGATTTAAACCCGAAAAAATTGTTTCATTTCCTATGTGTAACAATCGCGAAAACCTAAGAACTCAATAATTACCCTCTTTATAATTTCGCGGTCATCGAGAATAACGTAAACATTGTTCATCTGTAGATGTAAAGAAATGGAGTTCGAGTGCTAATGAGGAATAAGGAAGGCTAAAGAAAATGTAGGTACATGGGTACAGCTTATTTAAGAACAGAAACAAAGTAAGAGACGAATGTAAAAGCACGAGCACAATAAACAGACAAAAAAAAGACAAAATAAACAGAAATATTAATTCGATAAAAATCGTTTTCGTACGAATTAATTTTTAATTTAATTAAATTACGTGATGACTTTCTCTATAATTTGTTATCTTTTTAAACTCATGGCTCAAAAATGACAACTCAAAGTAAAGGCGCCAGAAACAAGTACATTTAAATTTAAAAATAAACTTAAAAAAAAGACTATATAAAATGCAAAAAGATTTGTTGCGACTACAAGCAATACAATAAATAAAAATCGCTATATCCTTATCCTTAAGGTCTATGGAATTTGTAAAAGAAATTCAGCAAAATGGAAAATGACCCTGGCAAGAATTGTAGAGCGATCACAGATCAATAACTTACAATAATGGTTCGAATTTATCCTGCAGTTTTAATGTCGAAACCACGCAATTGACGGAAACACAATACATTACATGCAATGATAAACACGGGCACGCTGGATGGATAATTGAAGGTATTAAAAAGACGCTCCGGGCTCTCTGGGTCATTTGCTCTTGCTGATATCGAATTTCGTCCATAAGATGGTAAATTTAAAAAATCTTCTTAACTTTGGAACGTTGATAGTGTAGTGTAAGCGGTAAAGAGTTGAATTTGAATCTTACATGTCAAGATTGACGCTGTCCTGGTATCACCTTCTTTTGTACACAATATTATATGAAAATAAATGTCAATAATTTATTCATTCATATATTAAGTAGCCTTAGAATAATAACGCATAGAAACCTAGTCCGCACACGCTAAGTGAGGCAAATTGAAGCGCGCCAAAAGGGCCTACACGAGCGGGCGGGCCTTCAGTGCTCAAGGTCAACTTGCACCGCGAACAGATCAAGAATGTTAGCTAAAAATGACGAAATGTGCGGTAAATGAGTGTAAAAATACGTCAGACAAACATAAAATAGATACTAACATCACAAGGAAGTAACGCGTTTCAACTTGTATTTTTATATAAATATTCACTAAAACCGAAAATTAACCTACTACTAAAACTAGCCAAATTCATGTAAATTTGATTTTTGCCTCACTTGTGACAGTTGGTTTGATGTGAAACTATCATTCTATGCGTTATTATTCTAAGGTCGCAGATATCTGAGATGCATTCCACTGCGCCCACACCCTGAGACATAAGTCGACAAGACCCATGTGCCTGTAATTTCACCAGCACCCTTACCCTTCAAAACCGGAACATGTAATGCTGACATTACTGTTTATGGAAATAGGTAAGGTGGCTGTACCCTGGACGAACTCTTTCACAAGACAAAATAGTTTTCTCATGACCTGGAAGTTGATATATTCAATTGTAATGTTGATGCGCTAAAGCGTAAACTCACGGACATTCTATTTACCTAATTTTGTTGAATAAATTGTAATTAGCGCAGGTATTGGGGTTGTTATATTTATGTAAGTGCATGATGTTAAGAACTGTTTATTGTTCGTTTGTTTAATGTTGAAGCTATAGGTGGAAAACTGTAATTGCCTTTATGTCTATGTTCCTGTTTTTATGTAAAGAGCTATTGGTTTTCCATGAATTCATAAATAAATAAACAAGGAAGCTCTACCTACTGCTACTAAATTTACTATTTACTTATTTGAGAATAATTGTTTCGGGTGGATGTCGAACAGAGAACGAGTGTAGAGCCCCTGAAACAGAACTTTGTAATATCATATTTATCTCTTATAGTAATGTAATTGTAAAAAAAAGATTGCCAAAAAAGTCGTGTTAACCTAATGGTTTAGTGAATTCGAATCCGGGTTCACACTTCTGAGTTTTTCGGAATTTAATTTAAAATTTGCCATTAGCTTTTCCTTGACGGAAAACATTGTGATGTATCCTGCAGTTATTATTCTAAGTCTGCGACTTAAAGCTCCGAGTTCCGAGTATCACTGCAACTTTTATGGACAGGCGTGTCGTTTAC